AGTGGTTTCACGCCTTAACCGAAACCGGATTCGTTGACTGGTCGTAGCGTGGCTGTTACAGGTGTTGCCGTTCTGACAGGTTTCACTCGTATATCTGACCCGTTCGCGAACTTTCAAAATTTCTGGAAAGGCAGCACCACCAATCTCAATGCGCTCTCAACTGCTCTCGTAAAGACGAACTATGCGTACATCGGCTGGTCTAACGCTTTCAACGTGCTAGGAGAAGTAGACGGCATCAGCCCTGTGCGCACGGTCCGTAATGCCGGCTTCATTTCCCTTGGAATTGTAACAGCGCTCTTCCTCACCGTGAATTTCGCATACATCGCGGCCATACCACTCGACGACATCAAGCGCGCAGGACAGCTTGTAGGAGTGTTGTTTTTCGAGCGTGTATTTGGCACGCACTGGACTTCTAAGATTCTTCCGGTTCTGGTCGCACTAAGCTGCGTGGGTAACACTGTCAGTGAGATCTGACTTACCCCTAGTCTGCTTGCCGCTTACGTCTTCGTCCGGTCTATAGATCGCGGTTGTATGCGTCTATAGCATGTTGTCCCGTCGTAAGTAGTGCCTGACGTTGTCCCAGACAGTTGGCCAAGCTCGTGTTCTGCGCGAAGTGGCCCGTCAGGGCCTCCTCCCTTACCCCACCTTTTTCGCATCTACTCGGCCCTTTGGGACGCCACTTGGGCCCGTCGCTCTCCAATACGCGATCACAACCCTCGTCATTTGTGTGCTGCCAGCGCGCGAGGCGTTCAACTTCCTTGTTGACCTCGTATCATATCCGCCCATGGTACTTCTCCCCTCGCCTTGACATCACCAGCTAGAGAGGTGCTTACTAACCGCATTCTTAGGTTTTCAATGTTGCCACAGCGACAGGGCTTTGGTTGTACCGTACCCGCCGCGCGAATGAAGGTCTATCAAAGTCTCCTTTCCAGGTGTGGAATGTTGTGGTCGCTCTATGGCTCCTTCAATGCATATTCCTCCTCGTTATGCCCTGGTACGTGCATCGTTTCAATGAATTCATATGAGGTTTACGGATCGGCTTGTCAGGGTACCACCAGAGGACGGACATGCGGATGTTTCCTTCTGGTATGCGACGTACGTAGCCCTCTCTTCCTCTTGTGCCCATGTACTGCCGTGACACTGATCTTGTTTTGGTGTAGGTATTGCGTTGTGGGCATAGCCCTGCTTCTCGTAAGTGATTTTCTTGTCACACATTTCGGCCGTGACAGTTGATGTCTTTCGCCAGCTCTGCGGCTTGTATTACTATGTTTGGATTGTCCTGCTACCCAATATCGGTGGGTATGAGTTTGTAGAAGAGGTTGTGGATTTGGGTGGTGGCGCCTTCACATCGCGGCTGGTACGCAAATATAAAGCTTCGATGCCTGAAGAGCATCCCCTCCTTGGATCATAATCAAAGCCTGGATTCAATTAAGCCTCGCATAAGGTAATTGTGGACGCGCTAGAATATATTGTTATACAGAAATAGTGACGCGTTCGCAGGACTAGAATGGCAGGAGTATGAAAGTGGTGGGTCTGAGGAGGGATGATTGTGGTTGTCTCTGACATCTTTCCCAGTTGCGAAGGCGAGACAGTCACTCAGATCTTAAGATTCTACTTAGACGTGTTCGCTCCTTCATCAAATCAAGCTCGTGAGCACTTGTGATATCCAGGAGTAGAGACCCACCTTTCCAACTAGGCTCCTCATCTTGATGCTGCGTTCCCTGTCGTCAGCCTGTTTATGAATTCGGATTCGTTCCACTTCCTCCATCTTCTCGCGAAGCATCTCGTTGGTCTCGCGCACATGTTTGCGACTCGCCTCGAGCACCTCCCCTGCCGCTCGTAGGCTTGCTTGACTGCGTTCATTCCAAGTGCGCGCAGTGAGGAGTTTCATTTCCGCTTTGTGTGCGCCGCTCAGCGCACGCGAGTGCCTCGAATGGGATGCAGCGTCCTCCTGGCATATCACGACGAAGTAAGACAAAGTTTGAAGAGAAAAAAATCGGTTTACGAAGAGAAGGGGTCGGGGCAGGGCAGGGACAAGGTACCTTGATAGAAGCCTTTTGGAGTTTCTGGATCTCGGCGAGCTCTTTGAGCGCGACGTGCAACGCGGCCTTGTCCGCCTTGGCCTCGCTCTTTATGATTTTCGACAGCTTTCGGTCGACGCCTCCGTCGTCTTTGTGCGCCGCCCCGCCGCCCCCAGCGCGTGCCAACGTGGCGTCGAGGTCCCGAGAGACGAACGGATTGGAAGCGGAAAGGTGCTGCGAGCCCTCGACGCTCTCTTCTTTTCCGCCAGCGGCCGCCTTGTCTCGCTGTTGGAGTCCCTCGCCGGTCCTGGTGGTGGCGGGGGCGCCGTTCGCGAACGCGCCCCCGCCGCGCGAATCGCCGTCGGCGAGGGCGTGATTTGGGTGGCGGGATGCGACCGACCGCGACGACCCCGCGTCCTCCTCTTCCACGCCGCCTGGGGAGCCTTCAGCAGCTCGAAGGACATTCTCCCGAGGAGCGTCAGAGGAGCGTGGCTGGTGCGCGCGGGCCCCGACGGAACGGCCTGACGATGATTCATCGTCGTCATCGGCGGTGGCAAAGCGCTGATGCTGAGAAGGCCGGGGTTGGAGATTCGCCGGGGGCGGCTCTACAGTACCGCCGCGACCGGAAAGACCCCGTTGGTGTTCAGGTGGCGGAGCGATGGGAGACGACGAGGACACACACGCGAGGCCGTCTCCGGGTCCATCCAGATTCGACCCGTCCACGTGCACGTGCCCGGACACTCTGCTCTGATGGTGTGCGCCCGCGCCCGCGGCCTCGGGCTCGGCATGGTCACGTTGTCGCGTGCCGATTGGTGCGTCATGCGAGGGGGAAACAGACTCCGGCCATGGGGGTGGCCCGCCGGGAATGATCTCCTGTGGTGCCAAACTATGGGTGGAACTGTTTGCAGAAGTCGGCGCCGATGAGCGACCGACGGATAAGAATCGGAACATCTAAACGCTTTAATCTGTGTGACTGGAGAACTCGGAGAGATCGTGCGCGCGTGGGTGCGAAATGATAGGATGGAGAGGAGCAGGAGAGCGCTTGAACGGGCCATGGCCCATGGCCTAAATCAGATTTAAACGATGACGGTATTGGACCAGGCTGGCAGCTGCTGGCGGCGACGAGCAGCTGCCGATCGAATTCGCCCCACGCACTCCGCATTAAGGGCACATTGATATCTCACATATTGTGCTTCCCAGTGAACAATCGCCAGGAAAAGCCGTTACCCAGCGGGGAGGTCTTTCCTGGATAGAACCTCGGAAACATATTTGGATGGGTCGACAGCCGATCTTTATTCTCTCTGCCCAAAAGAGGGTTCCTATTCAGCCCACAATCGCTGAGAGAAGGCGCCTAGCCTCGGACAATACCCCGGTCAAAAAGCAGCGCGACCGGCACACTCTAAAAATCACCGAAGATATCTCGCTCCTCATCGACCAGTATCACAGAGTGGTCTAAGTATATGGCCTTGACGACCTCTTGTTCTCTCCACTGCTTCTCCGAAGACGAGGGCGGTAGAACAGGTTTCAAAGAATATTCCACGCTGAGCGCCGACAATGCGCCGCCATATGCATGTGAGATACCTTTATGCATGCGTCCATTAGCATTTGACTGGCACAATATGCGAACGTCAAATTACGTGCTTACCAGTATCAATGATGATGATCTTGCCTTGGCAACGCGATACAATTTTCTACGACGAATGGTATGTTTTACCCCAGGCTGAGAGAGAAACTCGCGCACCTCGAAGTTGGGCGTGTGGCCCATGACCATCCTTCTCGTTCCCGTCTTCTCCAGTACAGAGTCAACTTTTCGACACGCCTGCTTCTCGTCGTCTAGCGCCCATCCACGGTACCATAGAGGGCCATGTGAGCCATATAGGGCCTCCTCCTCGGAGGTCGCGCTTGCCGGCAAACCGGGATATGGGTTGGGCGGGTGAGGCGGTGATTGCTTTCGGTGCTGCAACTTGCGCAAAAGTGAGCGTCCGAGGGCGTTTATGGCGGACGGGAACGGCGAGAGCTGCGGATAGTCAGGCGCGAGCCCCCCATGGACGAAGGAGTAAGCAGCGTGAGAGAGTCGTGTGGGTAAGTGGCCGGCCACGGATCCAGCTGGGTGAGGAAAGTCGTCATTCGGTGAACCAAAAGACGGGTGAAGGGGAAGGCGAGACGTGGTCGAATAATTTGCAGCCCAAGCACGACCAATGCGACCAGTGGAGATCATAGCCTGCCGTGCAGCGACACCACCAAAGGTCTTGATCTCGCTCGGGTAGACGTATCTGCGCCGACCCTTGAGAACATGGCAACTAACATCGAGCTGACTACCCACCTCCAATCGCCTAAATACATGGCAAATCATCACGGGTTAGTATGTTTTCATATCCTGGGGAAGAACTCGCCGATTGCGTTCATCCATTCATGGTTTCCCAGATGAGATAACATTTGCCCTCCAGCACTTTGAGCCTGCGATCGCAGGGCTTCCATCCAGTCAAACAGTTTTATCGTGTCATCGCCCCTAGACCCTCGAGTTAGCGATGTCCAACAATGTAAGTGTTTACCGAATGGTGGAACACACCGGTCAATGATGTCTCCCGTTTGTACGAAAATGTCTACTTCGCCTGACCACATGCCGTTTGAGTCAACTACCCCCGCCATTTCAAGGACTTGCTGTGCGTTTCCGATGTCCCCGTGTAGATCTCCCACAGCGACGATCCGGGTAGAACGTTGTATGCGGTCATCAGTTGCATTTATTATAGGGAGATGTGGTTGGCGTTCGCGAGGTAAGAGCACCAAGTAAAAGAAGGTCGCAAACCCAATAAAAGCAAGGGCTTGACGAAAGTTAGGCATGTTAGGAACAGCGACTGTCGAGATTGAGTCTCAAGGCAGCTTCCCTATAACTTCTGTAATAACAACCTCGTCGTTGTCGTTGTCTATGGGACTTGAAACGTTGGCTGATGAATGCAAACAGGACAAAAAAAGATGCACTGCACTGTCCGGGAATTGAACCCGGGGCGGATCGAGTGGAGCGTGTCGCTTTGGCAACGATCCAGGTTACCACTACCCCAACAGTGCCTTATTTATTAGTGCTATACTTTTATATACACACAACCACTCTGGCTTTGTCTTAATCAAAGCATGTCCATCCGATAGTTTTTTTTTGAACATTGCTCCCTCATCGGCTTCTCGGTAGACATCCAAATCATTGTAGTTATATAGTGCAACTTCTTTTCAAAACGTTGACACATGATACTTATGCTCCTCTCTCATGCCATGGTCCTTGGGCGCATGAGTTGATGTAGGACATTAAGCCCAACGGCGATGAGGGGGGTTGATGAACGCAAGAAGTGCGAAACACGACATCGAATTTGGGAGGTACCTCTGAGCTTCAACGAGATAGCCCCATGTGTCGTGAAGGGGGATGACCATAGAGTTGAGACCGAGCACCAAGACGCTAGTTTTGAGGGAAGAAGGGAATTAAAGAGCGGCCGAAACGAGTCACGGGAAAATGAATGAATAATAACTGTGGAAATATAACTAGTTACACGTACCGTCTGGATTGTCCGTTCGCGCGCCACTTGGCGGCTGCACGTCAGCTTATTCTTATTTCTCACAATCGCCCGTAGTTCGTGCATTGCAACCGTCTCACTCTTCATTTGTCGTTTGTATCTCGCCCGTGCCGTGCTCTCGTTCCGCGTTCTCCAGTCTCCCCGGATTGGCCACCCCGCCTAGTCGCTCACAGCCCCGACTCGACACAGGCCCTTTTCTCACCTATGTTTTCCCTCTTCACGTCTGTACAGAGTCTACTCGTTCCCCTCGGGTGAACAAACCTTTCCTCTTGGTAGAACCGGCACGCTACAGTGCCGACTTACACAGTTACACTGGTAAACCTAATCTGGAAGGCAGACAATCACACTTGCAACAATTGTCCTCTCTTTCACAAGAAATGTAATTATATGCGTTATAAGTAGAACTGGCACGTAAGATAAGGGCGCAGCGCCAGAAGCCAACTCGAATGTCATCTTAGCCACTTAAGACAGCTGCGATAACTGACTGGGTGGGAAGTGCAGGATAACGGTGCGACCTCGTAAACATAGTACTAGACTAGACTTGTATGAATCTTGATGTTCTGGTCTGCAAGACACGGGGACCCAACAGAGTCTCGTGGTATGAGTGCCGTGAGGTTTAAAGACCCATCCATCGATACTGCAATACAAACCATGTATCGCAAGGGCACGGGCTGATGTCCAGTCGCTCTCGAGGGTCCGGATGGCGGCACCAGTACTCGTGACCCATATCCGGACTGTGCGATCCGAAGACCCAGAGACAATCCGGGTGCCGTCTGGCGAAAACGCGACGGCTCTGACCGAATCTTTGTGGCCCTCGAGGGTCTTGACGGTGGCGCCAGTACTCGTGTCCCAGATCCGGACTGTGCGATCCGAAGACCCAGAGGCAATCCGGGTGCCGTCTGGCGAAAACGCGACGGCTCTGACCCAATCTTTGTGGCCTTCGAGGGTCTTGACGGTGGCGCCAGTACTCGTGTCCAATATCCGGACTGTGCGATCGTCTGACCCAGAGACAATCCGGGTGCCGTCTGGCGAAAACGCGACGGCTGTGACCCAATCTTTGTGGCCCTCGAGGGTCTTGACGGTGGCGCCAGTACTCGTGTCCCAGATCCGGACTGTGCGATCCTCTGACCCAGAGACAATCCGGGTGCTGTCTGGCGAAAACGCGACGGCTCTGACCGAATTTTTGTGGCCCTCGAGGGTCTTGACGGTGGCGCCAGTGCTCGTGTCCCAGATCCGGACAGTGCGATCCGAAGATCCAGAGACAATCCGGGTGCTGTCTGGCGAAAACGCGACGGCTCTGACCCAATCCTTGTGGCCCTCGAGGGTCTTGACGGTGGCACCAGTACTCGTGTCCCAGATCCGGACAGTGCGATCCAAAGACCCAGAGACAATCCGGGTGCCGTCTGGCGAAAACGCGACGGCTCTGACCGAATTTTTGTGGCCCTCGAGGGTGTTGACGGTGGCGCCAGTACTCGTGTCCCAGATCCGGACTGTGCGATCCGAAGACCCAGAGACAATCCGGGTGCCGTCTGGCGAAAACGCGACGGCTGTGACCATATTTTTGTGGCCTTCGAGGGTCTTGACGGTGGCGCCAGTACTCGTGTCCCAGATCCGGACTGTGCGATCGTCTGACCCAGAGACAATCCGGGTGCTGTCTGGCGAAAACGCGACGGCTCTGACCCAATCTTTGTGGCCCTCGAGGGTCTTGACGGTGGCGCCAGTACTCGTGTCCCAGATCCGGACTATGCGATCCGAAGACCCAGAGACAATCCGGGTGCCGTCTGGCGAAAACGCGACGGCTCTGACCCAATCTTTGTGGCCTTCGAGGGTCTTGACGGTGGCGCCAGTACTCGTGTCCCAGATCCGGACTGTGCGATCGTCTGACCCAGAGACAATCCGGGTGCCGTCTGGCGAAAACGCGACGGCTCTGACCGAATCTTTGTGGCCCTCGAGGGTGTTGACGGTGGCGCCAGTACTCGTGTCCCAGATCCGGACTGTGCAACCCTCTGACCCAGAGACAATCCGGGTGCCGTCTGGCGAAAACGCGACGGCTCTGACCGAATCTTTGTGGCCTTCGAGGGTCTTGACGGTGGTGCCAGTACTCGTGTCCCATATCCAGACTGTGCGATCCTTTGACCCAGAGACAATCCGGGTGCCGTCTGGCGAAAACGCGACGGCTGTGACCGAATCTTTGTGGCCCTCGAGGGTCCTGACGGTGGCGCCAGTACTCGTGTCCCAGATCCGGACAGTGCGATCGTCTGACCCAGAGACAAGCCGGGTGCCGTCTGGCGAAAACGCGACGGCTCTGACCGAATTTTTGTGGCCCTCGAGGGTGTTGACGGTGGCGCCAGTACTCGTGTCCCAGATCCGGACTGTGCAACCCTCTGACCCAGAGACAATCCGGGTGCTGTCTGGCGAAAACGCGACGGCTGTGACCGAATTTTTGTGGCCTTCGAGGGTCTTGACGGTGGCGCCAGTACTCGTGTCCCAGATCCGGACTGTGCGATCCCAAGACCCAGAGACAATCCGGGTGCCGTCTGGCGAAAACGCGACGGCTGTGACCGAATCTTTGTGGCCCTCGAGGGTCTTGACGGTGGCGCCAGTACTCGTGTCCCAGATCCGGACAGTGCGATCCGAAGACCCAGAGACAATCCGGGTGCTGTCTGGCGAAAACGCGACGGCTCTGACCCAATTTTTGTGGCCCTCGAGGGTCTTGACGGTGGCGCCAGTACTCGTGTCCCAGATCCGGACTGTGCGATCCCAAGACCCAGAGACAATCCGGGTGCCGTCTGGCGAAAACGCGACGGCTGTGACCGAATCTTTGTGGCCCTCGAGGGTCTTGACGGTGGCGCCAGTACTCGCGTCCCAGATCCGGACTGTGCCATCCGAAGACCCAGAGACAATCCGGGTGCCGTCTGGCGAAAACGCGACGGCTCTGACCGAATCTTTGTGGCCCTCGAGGGTCTTGACGGTGGCGCCAGTACTCGTGTCCCATATCCGGACTGTGCGATCCTCTGACCCAGAGACAATCCGGGTGCTATCTGGCGAAAAGTTGGCCGTCATCACTGAACCATTGTGACCCTCCATCGTTCTCAGCTCCGCATTCCATGATTGTTCCATCCCATTCAAGACCGTAACCGAATCTTCCAAGTCTCCGCGGAAGTGTGCACGGATTTTGGAGCCCAGTGGGGCGAATGGAAGGGCAGAGTGGTAGACATGCAGAGCCGCAACGCTGATGGGATCAAAGAACTCAAGCGTAAACCGTTCAAGATCATACAGCATGTCAATGATGCCAATTGGAAGCCTGACATCGGCCAACATCTATAATGATGTGATGAACGGTCCACACCACCAAAATCAAGACAACTCACTGATAATCTTTGTCGAGCAAGTTGCAGTGCCGGAATGGCCACATCTAGCGAGTCCATCAGACTCAGAGCCTCAACCCAGTACAAACTGTGATCGAAACAGAATGTTTTCAAGACATCAAACAGCTCTTCCGATGGCTGAGAATTTGCTACATGATCCGCCCAATGACGGCAGGCGTATTGCATCGCGAGCGGAATATTTTCTTCAATTCTTTTTGAGATATCTCCGATTTCGTTGTTCAACTTTGAATAGTCTCCGATCTGGCACATATCCCGGTGAAGCCTGTTTAGTTTCTTCAGACAATCGATGGCGAGATAGCCGTGGTGCAGTGAGGTATCAATTCGATATTCTGGCTCTTTGCAGCGGTTCGTATCAGCGATAAAATCTGGGAAAGATGCATGCATCACTTGGACAACCCCAGGGTCCGAAGGAATGATGACGATTGAATGCAATCGCTGGAGAATGCTTTTTATCGAAACATCTTTGCTTGGATCGTCGCCGAGCAATGATGATATCGAATGTTCAGAGAGAGGTTTACAGAGTACAACAACACAACCAAGAACCCTTCGCAGGCGACCCAGTGTGTCTGGATGGGATGATGGTGGTGGAAATGCATTATGCAAGACAGTGAGGTACAGCTGGTCTAGATGGTGATAAGGAGACTGATTCGACTGCCCAGGGATTTGTGTGGCAGAGACCAGTTCACGGAGCTGTCCCCACGGTTTTAAGACTTCAGGATCTTCGATAAATCGAACTGCGGTGGCAGCAAAGATAAATAATCCACCTGACAGTTGGACGAGTGTGCGGACATCGTCCTGAGTAAACCAATCGCGTCCTCGGAGGCCATGGTCGCGGGACCCAACATGAGTGAGCTCGTGCAACAAGAAGATTTCGATGTCATGGTCTACAGACGATTTTGGAATCTCGTGATGGAAGAGCGCATGTGTATGTGACTGGAGATGAGGAGAGAGGGATGGCACGTGCAGTTTAGGCTCGGGTCGACTGGTGAGGAAAATGGAGAACGGAAGGCGTTCAATGTGGGCCGAAAGCACCGATACGATGAATGAGGTCGCGTCATCATCTTTGCACTCATCGAGGGCATCTAAGACGATGACAGCCGGTGATGGAAATGCTTGC